CAAAACCTAGGAAGCGAGTCACTCACTTCACAGACGAGGACACCAGCACTCCCAGGCTTGAGAGCCTGGCCAAGGTCCGGCCACGTGCAAGGAGAAACACCGAGACGTTTTCGTCTAATGGCTTGTCTTGTCTTGCCGTTGTTGCTGCTATTATTGCAATGACTTGGCTCTGAGTGCCTGTCCACATTTACCCCACCTGACCATGGATTTAAAACATTCTGGGTGAGGATCTCTGAAATATCTTCATGTTTGCTTACACGCCCAGGACTTGTCATTTGTTTATATTGAACAAGCTCATGATCCGTTCCGGCTTGGTTCAAAAGGACCGATGGGTAAGAGACACCTCGGGGACGCCCTGCAGACCTCGTCTAGGGCCGGTAGATTTCTCTCACCCCCCAACTTTGATCGGAGTTAGAGAATGATCATGATTTTTATCACTCTCTAGTCTTCTAAGTCTTTAATTGGTCAACAGGCCAGCAAGTATTGAGACATGCATACTATTAATTTGCAAATAAAAATGCCCAGGAGAAAAAAGAAGGCTGGAGATATATACCTAATTTACATAAACACATATAGATATAGATTCCCATATACATATGTATGTGTGCTTGTGGGCATACATATATATATATGTATTTAAATATATATGTTAATATACTTATATATATTTAAATAAATGTATCTCACTTTAAAAAAGTACAATCTTGCCCAAGGTCACTCAACAAAGAAGTGGCAGGGGTGGGGTGTGAACAGAGCTGTGCTGCCACGGGGCTGAGCGGACGTCATTGGTTTCCCAGGTCATGGCGAGCACTCGGTCCCCAGCCATCCGGACAGAAGCTGATAGGCCCCTCCACTGGGCCAAGACCGTGAGAGGGGCAACACAGCATGTCCTTCGTTATGAGCCACTCCAATCACGAAATTAAAAAGGTTTTCCGGGAGAAAGGAAGAAACCTTCCCATGTATGCGTACACACTGCTTAAGCACTGAATCCTGACTGCAGGGGCACGCGAGACACGTGTCTCTGGCCATTGTGAAAGTACAGGACCTGGCAGCGTGGTTATTTCTGGGACCTTATGAGCCTTGCTGGTTCAGGGAGCGAAGCTGAGTCACGCTCCCAACTGCTGGCCTGAAGCCTTTGCTGAACCAGCTGCTCGCGATCCCTCGGGATGCGACCATGGCTTTCGATTTTTGTATTATTTTTAAAGTCCTCATCCATCCTCTCCCTTTACCTGGGCAAGGAAAGGATGTGGAACCCATCCCTCAAATGCAAGACCCCGGTCGCTTGGGGTGGGGCTGGCATAAGCGAAGCCCTCGGGAGAGAAGGCATGCCTCTGTGTCAGCCGTGATCGCCTCTCCACGGGGCGCCAACGTCATCCTCAATTTCTTCTCTCAGCCTTTCTCTATTTCCAGTTTCCCTCCTGGGATCCCTCTGGAATCCGAAAATAACTTCGCAGTTATAAAGCAAAAGAATGATGGTGAGAGCCTTTGCCTAAAGACGCCATATCCCCGAGGCGGCCCACGGAGGAAGGACGCCGCCGCTCACGTCCGTGGGCCCCTGACTCACCACAGAAGGAGATGATGTGGCTGCTGTCTTCGTGGACAAACTTGCGTGTGACGGCCTCCTCCATGATCTGCTTCACCTGGAAGACAGGGCAGCCAGATGGGGGGAGACCCTGATCCACCCGGGGTGCAGACACCCCGAAGGGCTGGACTGCATCACCCACCCCTGTCTCTGATAGCCCCACACTTCACAGTGAACTGAATTAATTTTCCAGGCTCTTTGCCCAGTGTCACACCGAAAATGTCATCCCCTTCCCTGATCACATAAGCTAAGGCATCCACCTCCAATTCCATCCACTCCTATTACGGTTCCTGCAGAGTAGTTCCTGTCCTATTTGTTTATTTGTTTACCGTGTGTCTCCATCTTCCAGAATATAATTTCCCCAAGGGGAGGGTCTCATCTGCCTTGTTCACTGCTGTATCTATGGAGCTTGGAATAGTGCCTGGTGCATAGTAGGTCTCCAGAAACATCTTCTAAGTGGATGGATGAATGAATGAAATGGGTACACTAAAAAAAATCAGGAGGGCGGAGTATGAAAAATCAGCCCTGGAATCTGGGAGACTTGGGTTCAAATCCCTGCTCAGGTACCCGCCAGCTGGATTTGTGATCTTATTTTGGGAAACAGAGGCTCAGCAATGTGTAGAAACTCTCCCAGAAAGGTAGAGTGGCCGAGTAGAGACAGATCCCAGCTGGGTCTGAATCTCCAGGCTGTGTGCTTTTCCTACCACGCTCACTCAGTCAACAAGTATTTACCGAGTACCCATGATGTGCCAGGCACAGGGGCACACACACACACAAATCAATCAATGTAACACTACATTAACATAACAAAGGAAAACCACCACATGATCATCTCAGTTGATGCAGAAAAAAGCATTTGACAAAATTCAACATTGTTTTATAATTAAAAAAAAATGAACAAACTAGAAACAGAAGGAAACTACTTTAGCATAATACAGGTCATATAGATATAACTTTAAATTGCGCTTTCCAATTATTGTGCTTCTCACACATTGAAGGTTGGTGGTAACCGTGAGTTGCCATATGATGATTGGCATTTTTGAGCAATAAAGACTTTTTAAATTAAGGTATACACATTGTTTGTTTGTTTAGATATAATGCTATTGCACACTTAATAGACTACAGTATAGTGTCAACATTACTTTTGTGCACTGGGAAACAAAAAAAATTCACGTCACTGATTTTATTGTGATATTTGCTTTACTGAGGTGGTCTGGAAGCAAACCTGCATTCGCTCCAAGGTATGCTTGTATATGAAAAGCCCAGAGCTACCACCATACTCAACGGTGAAAGATTAAAAATCTTTTCCTCTAAGTTCAGAGACAAGATAAAGATGCCCACTTTTACCTCTTCTTTTTAACACAGCGGTGGAAGTCTTAGCCAGATAAATCAGGCAAGAAAAGAAAGAAGGATGCAAATTGGAAAGGAAGAATAAAATTATCTCCTTTCCCAGATGACATGATCTTATATTTAGACATTACATATATAGAGGTTTCCATGTTCATAGCAGCGTTATTCGTAACAGCCAAAAGGTGGAAACAACCCAAGGGTCCACTGGTGGATGAGTGGATAAATACATCGTAGTATATACATACAATGGAATAGTATTCAGCCTTGAAAAGGAAGGAAATTCTGACACATGCCACAACATGGATGAACCTTTGAGCACATCACAATAAGTGAAATAAGCCAGTAACAAAGAGACAGGTTCACAGGATTCCACTTTTACGAGGTATCTAGCATAGTCAAATGCACAGAGAAAGTGGAACGGGGTTGGCAGAGGCTGTGGAGGGGAAGGCACCGTGGGGAGTTAGTGCTTAATTGGTACAGAGGTTCAGTTTTGCAAGATAAAACGAGTTCTGGATATTGGCTACAGGACAAGGTGAACATACTTCACACCACTGAACTTAAAAATAGTTAAGGATGGAAATATTCTGTTCTGTGTATTTTACCACCATTTTAAGACACCTAAAGTTGGTGCCAATTGCAAATCTCAGGTTATCACCTGTGCTTCTGACAGACTGGCTTTAAATCAGGGTTCCCACCTCGTGAGAGCATCCCATTGCAAGTCAGGCTTTCAACAGATGAATTTGGGAGGTTGACACAAACAGCCTTGCAGAAGGCTGTCTGCTTACAGCAGTGGCTCCTGAGACTCAGAGAGGGTAAGCCCGCTCTTGAGGTCACACAGCCAGGAAGCTGGCTATAGAGGGAGTCCGTGGCTGTCTGGCTCTAGGCCTCGTCATGGGGATGGACCCGGGACAGGATGGGTGGTGGAGGAGGAGACAAATGCAGCACTGAGGACGGTCTCAGCCTGATGGAGAGGCTCTGTGACATGAGGACTCCTCCTCACTTCCTCTGGCGCCCAGCTGTGAGCTGGAACGTCTCCCCAGAAGTTAATAACAGGCTGACAGCCTGAAGCCAGGAGAGGAAATTAAAGGGCAATGGCGTGCCAGCCTCCCCTGGAGGATCAGTGCGCGTCCTGCAGAAGAGGGCACACGGTCTCGCCACAGGAAGAGAGAGGCTGCTGCCCACTCCTGCGAGGGGGGAGGCCATCCCGGGGGACAGCTCAGCACTGCGGGCGGGGGAAGAGGGCCAGGCAGCCTCAGAAGGCCTCCAAAATTCAGCTCAACCACCATCCCCCCTCTCAGGCTGCCATACACGGGCTTGAACTTGGTCCTGCCTTGGAGGCAGACAGATCTGAATGACCACGGGATGGTGTGGAGACAGCGGGAGTCATCAGTGTGCATCTTGGGCTCCTTGTGGCCTCTGTGAGCGTCTAAGCTCTGGCCCAGGAATCAAGCCCCATTTAAGAAGCACAGAGACAGTGACTGTGGTTGGTGCCACTTCGAAGACACAGACCTGCCTGCCTTCCCGTCCCAGCTTGGCCACTCATGTCCTGTGTGAGCTCGGCCAAGCCTCACCCCTGCTGGCACCTCACTTTCGCCATCTGTAAAGTGGAACTGATTCCCCTGCAGGGCTATGCGGAGGATTACGTGTGATGTTATCGGCAAACGGGCAGGCAGGGCAGGAGCTTTGCGATGCTGAAGCACCCTGCTCATTTCCTTTGAGTAATCACTAGGTTCTGGAGACCGCTTGTAGGAACAACCACCTTAATGAGGCAAATGCCCAAACTATTCCCATCTTACAGAAGGAGAAACTGATGCACACACAGATTAGACCACCTGCCCCAGGTCATGCAGAGGCGGCAGGATTCAGGCAGGATTCAGACTCACGCCCTTTGTTCTAAGAAACTGTTATTCTGCAACAGCCAGAGGCCATTGTGAACAAATGCTTCTGTTACTCTCCTTGGTTCTGTAGTTCTGCTTTTGTTATTAAAGAGAATGTTTACTAAGAGCACCGACTGAGTGCCAGGGACTTTGCATAGAACGCCTTATTTAGTTCTCACAAGAGCATTATTATTCCCATTTTAAAGATGGACACAAGAGGGTTTATACCATTCGCCTGAAGGTCACACAGCCAGGACCTGAGCCCAGATTTGTCTGACAGCCTGACCTGGAGCCCTGCCTCCAGCCCTGCCCAGTCCTGGCTCAGCTCTCCGCAATCCCAGTGTGGTGAGAAACCTGTGAGGAGGGAGTCCTCAGTCTCCCAACTTGCGGATGGAAAGAGGCACTGTACTAGGAGTCAGAAGACCTGGGTCGCCTGGATGTGCCTCTGCCAACCACACCCCACTGTGGGGATCTTTCAGGGGCAGGGGGACCTCAAAGGTCACCACGGACAAGAAGCTTTGATCGCTCTCCAGCATCCGTTCTAAGGAGTCCTCCAACATCTGCCTGCATTCCTCCAACGATGGGGAACTCACTCCTTTTGGAACCAGCTTATCAGCTCTAAGGACAGGATGTCAGGAGGCCACTGAGAGAGGCTAAGAGCCTGGGAGGTGGAGACACTGCCCTGGGGTCAGATCCTTCGCCACTCACTACACGCATGACGCTGGATGTGTCTCCCCATCTGTAAAACGGGGGCAACATGAGGCTTGAGTGAGATCGTGGAGATGGTGCCTGGCACGCGGTAGGGATTCTACAAATGACAGTGCCTCTTGAGATGACAGTGACTGTCAGTCACTGCCTGGCTATTTGTGACAGTTGGTTGAACGGGCGATTGCTAGGTGGCCCTTCAGCTCTGGTCACCAACCCCAGCCTCTTCCGGCTGTGACCCAGCCCCAGCCCTCCCGGACTCCCTCAGGCCTCTGAGCTCCTGCCCCACCCCACCTCCGGCCCCACCCTGCAACCAGGCAGAGACGTGCCCCGCCCTCCCGCCA